TTCTACACCAAGGTGCCCCTTCAGGGAGGATGGGCTTAAGTGTGAGGCATGAAGCTGGGGGAGGTTGTCTCAAGGAGGGCAGGGTGCAGTAGAGAGTGCAGAGAGACCTGGGGTGACCTGTGAGGAGCTGGGGAGAGGAAGAGGCTGTCCTGAGCCCATGCCTCCCTGTGCTCTCTCCTCCGTCCAGGCTCCAGAGGCCGACTACTTGGAAGCCTGTGTTGTGTCTGTGCTGCAGATCCATGTGACCCAGCCTCCTGGGGATGTCCTAGTGTTCCTGACAGGACAGGTGAGAGGTGGGGGAGAGGTGATGCGTGTGTGTCCCAGGGGAAGATGGGGCTGGCAGGCCGGCCTTCTGTGACACTGGGCCCCTGCTACTCTCCCCACCTCAAACCCAGGAGGAGATTGAGGCTGCCTGCGAGATGCTCCAGGATCGCTGCCGCCGCCTGGGCTCCAAAATTAGAGAGCTGCTGGTGCTGCCCATCTATGCCAATCTGCCTTCCGACATGCAGGCTCGCATCTTCCAGCCCACGCCCCCGGGGGCACGGAAGGTACAGTTAGAAACCTGCATTCTTTACCCCTGTGGGTGCACGGCCGGCAGTAGGGAAGAGGGGGTGTCTCTTGTGCAGGCCGTGTGCCGTGGGCACTGCTGCAGCCCCAGGCCGCGGAGAGAGGACCAAGAGGCACGAACCTTGAGAGTGATCTGTGAGAAGCAGAGCCCTTGGTGTGCCGGGAGGTGGGGGTTGGTCTTCACCTCTAAGAAAAATGGCAGGGGATGTCAGAGGACGGCGTAGGTGTGTTTGAAGCCAGAGTGCAAGGTTCAGTGGAAGGCTTCTGTGGTGAAGCAGTGGGAGGCAGGCTGACACCCACTTTGGTCTAGATTAGGGAGGGCCTTGGGTGGCAGGTGGAGGAGTATGGACTTTAGACAACTGAATTGCAATCAAAGGATTTGAGCAAAGATGTAACTTTCATCAACAAAGGTTGATCGGGTTCCTCCCAGGTACTGTTCTGGGGGATGGGCATACAGTGGCGAGTGGAACAAAGTTCCTGGCCTCGTAGAGCTTCCCGTCTGGTGTAAGTTAGGAGACGGTGGACATTCAGCCGTAATGCCAGCTTGTGACAGATGCTGTGAGGAGGTACAGTGCGGCTGGAGGATGGAGACTGAGCCGGTGGGGTGGCGAAATGGCAACAGGGAACTTTACTGGGAGTGTAGGGAAGGCCTCTTCCTCTCCAATAAAGTGAAAGTGAGGCAGGGGCCTACACTGGGTGAGGGGAGCCAGGCTGGTATCCCCCAGAGGTGTGTGCCCCAGAGGGACCCGGGTGTGGACTCAGTCGCTGTGCCTGGCTGGGGAACGCGGTGCTGGGAGATGGGGTGGGAGAGGCAGCCAGGGCCTGGAGGACTCAGCTCCTGAGTGGGCTTGGATATAATTCTCAAGTAGAATGGGAAGCCAGTGGAGGACAGGGGAGTGATGTGACAGGTGTACATTTGAAAAGGACCATTCCGGATGCCACGTAACCCTGGCAGGAGTAGAAGCAGGAAGGCTCGTTAGGAGACTTTCGCAGGCAGTAATGTGCCAAGGTGAATGTGACACTGCTGGTGGGGAAGGTGGGGCAGGAACCCAGACAGCCCCATCTCAGAAAAACCCATCAACCCTCTTCTCCATTTCCTGTCCACAGCATGCCCCTGCTGAGCCCCGCTTCCCCTCACCCTTCTCTTGCCCGTCCCCCTCTCTGACTGGACACCAGTCCCCTCAGCTCCTGCCCTTTATCTGCCCCTGCTGTCTACTGCAGATCTTCCAGGATTCCTTTTTCTGCATAGCTGGGAGGTCAGGGTCTCTGAGTGACCCCGTATCCTCTCACTCAGGTGGTTGTGGCAACGAACATCGCCGAGACCTCGCTCACCATTGAGGGCATCATTTACGTGCTGGATCCAGGGTTCTGTAAGCAGAAGAGCTACAACCCCCGCACAGGCATGGAGTCGCTCACAGTCACACCCTGCAGCAAGGTCAGCCTGGGCTCCATGGGGGTCTCTGTGGTGGAGCAGGAGGCAGAATGGGCCTATTCAGAAGCCTGTAGGGGCTTCTTAGAGGACCGAGCCACACCCTCCGAGATTTCTCACATAAATACTGCCCTTTCTCTTTCCCTTACCCAGTTGTCAGCCAGCCTGTCTTTCCTTTCTTTCCAGGCCTCAGCCAATCAGCGAGCTGGTCGGGCAGGCCGGGTGGCTGCAGGCAAGTGCTTCCGCCTGTACACTGCCTGGGCCTATCAGCACGAGCTGGAGGAAACCACGGTGCCCGAGATCCAAAGGACCAGCCTGGGCAATGTTGTGTTGCTGCTCAAGAGCTTAGGTGATTGGGGTTCCCCAGTTCTCCTGAGAGAGCAGGTGGAGGGAGGCTAGAGTCACTGGCCCTTGTAAAGGACTGTGCTACCCTCACTTCTCTCTGCAGGGATCCACGACCTCATGCACTTTGACTTCTTGGACCCTCCACCGTATGAGACCCTGCTCCTGGCTTTGGAGCAGCTGTATGCTCTGGGAGCCCTCAACCATCTTGGGGAGCTCACCACGGTGAGGTGGGAGGGCAGTGGGCTGGGGCAGGAGGATGGGGTTGGGGTGACCCCTTGAGTGGTGGAGGGACACCTGAAGAACTGGCTTCAACCCTCTCTCTCTTCTCTTTAGTCTGGTCGAAAGATGGCGGAGCTGCCAGTGGACCCCATGCTATCTAAAATGATCCTGGCCTCTGAGAAGTAAGTCCCCCCCTGCCCACAAGCTGGCCACGCCACCTCCTGTCTCTGGGACCATCTTTGTTATTTTGCTCTTTTTCTCTCTACTGTATTCTTTAACAAGTAAGTTATTAGAGAACTCTTACTGCCCTGGTGAGCCCCACAAGGGCCAGTGAGACACTGCCGTCCTTGATCACGATATGAAGTGGGTAAGAGTGACACACACACAGAAGACTTGGGGGCATGAAGGGAAGTGGAAGACTTTGCATCTGTGAGGAGTGCTGAGTGAGGGCTGTTTGGGGGACTTGCTCATTCCTGAGGTTTCAGACTGGAACATGTAGATGTGGCTGTGGAGGGACCACCTTTAAATGCCATAGTTGAGGTTGGGGTCATCACATGAACTTAAAGGGAGTGGACTTTCCCCAATGCACATAATACGCACCTTGCTACTGCCGACCCCTCACAGGTCCTGTCCTGTCCTCTTGTAGGAATCCCTCCTCTGTAACTGTCATCCGCAGCCCCGTGCTGCTGCTGCTGCCACCAAATCTAGCCACTGATTTGTAGCCATTATCCTAGTGGGCATTCCCCGCGTGAGGACACATGCATCACACGGCGATCACTTCCCCCACCATGTGTTCCTACATCTTGGTTTGACTCTCATGCTTTTTTCCTTCCTGCCCCAGGTACAGCTGTTCCGAGGAGATCCTGACAGTGGCTGCCATGCTGTCTGTCAACAACTCCATCTTCTACCGACCCAAGGACAAGGTCGTCCATGCTGACAATGCGCGTGTTAACTTCTTTCTCCCTGGTGGGGACCACTTGGTTCTGCTAAACGTTTATACACAGGTCACTGGGCTTGGGGGTGAGTGGGAATGAGGGAGACATGGGGGACTTTGGTTGTACTGTGGACTTACCCCCTTTGACCCTCTTCACAGTGGGCTGAGAGTGGTTACTCTTCCCAGTGGTGCTATGAGAACTTTGTCCAGTTCAGATCTATGCGCCGAGCCCGGGATGTGCGGGAACAGCTGGAGGGGCTCCTGGAGCGCGTGGAAGTTGGCCTCAGTTCCTGCCAGGGGGACTATATCCGTGTACGCAAGGTCAGCACTTGTTTAGTCTCCTGCCGTCCACCCAGGGTCTCCTAAGGAGCAGGCTTCCCTCTGGGCCTATGGCAGCCCCTCCAGCCTGAGATTGTGCGCTCTTCCCTGTGGAAGGTGTGCTCTCCTGGCTTTATTCCCAGACCATTAAGGGTTTCTTCTCATTGGGTTCTTCATGCATCTTTTAGTTCTCCAGAAGCCTGAACTGAAAAAAGGTAGTGAGGGTCCTTGCATGTCTGGCTTTCACATTGATGCTGCTTCCTGCCTGCTCCTTAGGCCATCACTGCCGGTTACTTTTACCACACAGCACGGTTGACTCGCAGCGGCTACCGCACAGTGAAACAGCAGCAGACGGTATTCATTCACCCCAACTCCTCCCTCTTTGAGGAACAGCCTCGCTGGCTGCTCTACCATGAACTTGTCTTGACCACCAAGGAGTTCATGAGACAGGTGAGGGGACCATCCCCTGCTCAGGCAGGTGGGGACTATAGAGACAGGTGGTCTTCTGGCAAGCTCCATTCCCAGGTTCAAGTTGCTGGGACTGGCAGTGAAACAGGAAAACACATTGGTTTAAGGTAGGGTAAGATAGTAAGACATCCTTCTTGACAACTGACTCAGCATCTGGTGAGATCTGATCACCATACAGTGGACATCTGAATGGCTCTTGTCTCGGTGTTGTGTGTGCTGGGGTGATAAAGGTGAACAGAGCAGATGTGGCCTCTGCCCTGAGTGTACTTTATAGTCTTTATAGCCAGGTTTTTAGGGATAGCCTAGTTGGAAACCTGAATAACATGTGGCGATGTGGCAGCCTTGGGGCATAGAGTATTAGAGCCCTGCACCTTTCCCCCTCGCCCTGCAGCCAAAGGGGAGAAAGGAGGACTTTTTTGAGCATACACACATTAGAATCTAGGTTGGAAAGATGGGAACTCTACTTTTTTTTCCTCCCCTTCTAGGTATTGGAGATTGAGAGCAGTTGGCTTTTGGAGGTGGCACCCCACTATTATAAGGCCAAGGAGCTAGAAGATCCCCATGCTAAGAAAATGCCCAAAAAAACAGGCAAGACCCGTGAAGAGCTAGGGTGAAGAGGGATGTAAACAGAACCTAACATCAGCTAATAAAAATAGTTTTGGAATAAAACTTGTGGGAACTTTTGGAATCCAGAGAAAGTGACATGAAAATCCAACCTCGTATTTTCACTTAGACTTTATTATTTACAAGTTAAATTACACAGCAGCTTTACACAGCACGAGAGATCGCAAGGGAGGGAGGGAAGTGGGGCGGGAGAGAGAAGAGGGGAAGAAGCTGGCTACCCCCATCTCCTCTTGTGCATAGCAAAGTCTTCGGTGCTGCCCTCGCTCAAGTTCCTGAATCAGGCCTTGGGACATAGGTGTAAGTTGGGTTCTGGCTCTGACAGCCCCAGAGTCACCAGGGCTCCCACAAGCAGCTTCTTCACAGGTGTTGGGGGTGAGTGTGAAGGCATCAGCTGCAGGGAGGAAGGTTAATGCCAGTTAGCAAGATGTTCTAACCCTTCACCTTACCCCATCCGGCCCTGGGACTCACTTTGTCTAGGCGATGGCGACAAATGAGGCCACTGGAATTCAGGTAGAAGGTGGAATAGGCATCATAGGTCCTGGTGAAGGAAGAGAGGCTGAGAGGGAAGGTGACTGATTCCAAAGTTTAATTCAAGCATTTGTTTAAACTCATAGTTCCTCAACTGTGCTACATATTAGATCACCTGGGGACTTTGAAGAATCCTGATGGCCAGGCTGCACCCTGTCCCAATTAAATCAGAATGTCTGACACCAAGATGATTCCACAAGGTCTGCGTACTGTTGTGTTTGGGGTGAGCCTAATAATGTCTTGGGATCCTACTTGATCTAAGGTGGTGAGGCTCAACTTATGAGGCAGGGATTTTCACTTGTTAAGTTTTTGAATACCTACTTATGTGCCAGGTAATATACATGAATAAGCTGAGTTCAGAGGTTTCCTAATGTACTCAAAGTCCCTATTTTTGTTACAGTAAAGGAGACTAAAACAAGATCCCTGCCCTCAAGGAACCTGCAGTCAAGTCAGGTAGGCGAAGGATTATCTGGGAGAACAGACCACCAGTCCTAAAAGCATAGGATCAGGAAATGGATTGGAGCGTGGGTCCTTCCTTATTTCTCTTACTGGTAAAGCTCTTCCTTGTCACGCTTATAGAAACGCAGAAAGAGCATGTGGATGGGCAGCCCCACCAGCCGCCAGCGGGCTTGCAGGGTCCAGTTCTCAGGGTGGCGGGTTAACTGTAGAACCTCCAACCGAAGTTGTGCAAAGTAGTTCCAGGCCAGGAAGCGGCAGAAGGTTAGTGACAGAACATACCACGTCCGGCCCCTGTGAAGAAGGGATGGGAAAGAAATCTCATGATGGCAGAATCAGAAAACCAGACCAGCCTGTCTGAGGAATGGGGAACAGTTGTAGAGAAGCAGCCTAGCACCTTCTCTAGTAAGTGGAAAAGGTCAAGTGCACAGCACTAGGTCCTCCTCTTCCCACCGCCCTGCTGGTGCCTGGATTCTCACTTGGTACGTATGTTCAGGATCTCATTGATGAATTCCACATCCGACGAGTAGAGTGTGTAGTCATGGGAGTGAAGGAAGAGATTGGGAAGCTAGGTGGAAGCAGAAGGCATCAACCCAGTGGGAAAGAAAAGACATCCTATTTCTGTTTTCTATTTTTAGTGCCTTATTCCCAAGTGAAAGGTCATTTCTGTGCCATGTTTAACTTTCCTTAATCAAAACTGAGGATTATCTTCTTGGGAAATATTCGTAACATATTTCTATGCTTGCCTTGTGGCTCCAAGAATACAATTGACTATCCCTCCATTTCCAAGTGTTACCTGCATCCCTTCCCACTGTGGATGGTCACTTTTGAACTGACTTACCTCTTGTCTCAGTCTCTCATACATGACAGCCAGGTGCTCCTCCATACTGGGATCTCCTGATGGAGTGGCGGGGGAAGGGCGGGCAGTCACAGGGGCTTGGAAAGATAGCAAAGCCCCAAGATAGGGGCAGGAAGGTCCCTCAAATAGGCTCCTAAGCCCATCCAGGCAGCCGCTATGCAACTCAGGTCCTGGTCCCTCCTCTCCCTTTCCTGGAGGGAGAACCATCCATGGTGAGGTGAGGGCCTGGACCTGAGGGAGAGGTAGTGGGGCAGCTCGGGAAAGCAGTCCAGTGGGAGGGCGTGGAGGTGGGGGAGACCAGAAAAGTGGAGAGGATGGAGACGTGGAAGTCGTGGAGTGGGGCCACAGGGGTGGGAATGGCAGAGCCCATGGAGAAAGCTGGTCCTAAGGAGGAAGAACAAAGGGGAAAAATAGAATCCAGCTGCTTAAGGGCCCTTCATCCAAAATGCTTATTAACTTCCAATCTCACCTCCTGACAGAAGAGGGAATTGTGAGAGGAACACGGGATGGATTCACCTCCATCTCCAGGAGGAAACACTCCCATGACAAGCACTCCCCCCCCCCCC